CCCCCCCACGGGGGAAGTGTTATAAATTTATAATAGATACATTTTGAGCCAAAACAACTCATGGCGGGGTCTGCTAGTCAATTAATAAAAGATGAAGGTCAATTAATCGAACAAATGAATCAAACATATTTTCGATTTATAACGAAAGAAACCGATTACGGAACTTTAAAATTTTCTTAATTAACTTCTATTGCGCAAGTCCGTGAATAGATAAATAAAATCTACAAAGTGATAACGTACAAATATAAGCATGCATTAACTATACATACATAAAAATACAAGTAAAAATAAAAATTATTAATAATAAATAAATAAAGAAGGGATGACATAACGGACATAAAAAATATTTATGGCTTACACATAACAATATTATGTGTAAACAATAAATATTTTTTACATCCATTGACAGAATATAATTTTGAAGTTATGTTAATTATGGTTTTAACTTATTTACAACAAGGATACATCTTTCTATTAATAAATTTTATTTAACAGTTTCATTACACAATAGCATTATTCTTGCTATTACGTTGGAAGTGATAACAAGTGGAAGTTCATAAAATTTTCTTAAGTGCGATTTCTTAATTTTTAAAGGTAAGTACTGTACATTACATCTATAATTACGCTATTGTTTAGTTTGATAGATCCTAGTTTATCGTAAATCGATTATCGAACCGAAACAATGAAAGCGTTTTGAAATAAAATAAATATTTAGTTTATCCAAAAAGGTTGTTTATTATTATTAAACCAATAAAATATTGTATTAAATCTGAATGTATTCTATAGGTATAATTATTTATATTTTTCTTTTATGAAAATAATTATTTTAATCAATAATATAAGACATTTATTAAGTTTATTGCTTCGATAAAACGCGTTTTATAATAATATATTTGAATACAGTCGACCCCCCTATAATTACGGTCCCTATAGTTACGATTCCTATAAAACTACGAAAAAATTGCTACCGGTATCCGTAAAAAATAGTAAAAGTTCCCTATAAACACCTCAAACGTCATTGAGAAGCCGAACTACTTTCCCGCCGTCCGTAGCGCCACGCTACGGAGAGATTTCTATCGTCTGGACAGTATTATATAAATTATATATAAATTAGGTACTGTACATATAATTATATATTAATTATATATAAATTAGGTACTGTATATATAATTATATATTAACTTATTGTAACTTTGTTATAATTAAATATATAATTTCCGCCGTCTAGCGTGGCGCCACGCTACGGAGATTTTTACGCTAACTATCGTCTGTCAGTATGTAAATTAGGTACCGTAAGTCTAATACAGTACTGTAATTTTATACATTTCTTGTGAAAGAAACATTTCTTATTCAACG